AAAAGACAAGAAAGAAAAAGACGGGCATAATGAAAACCTGCAAGGGCACTATGGGCAAGAGTGTCAAAATAAAAGGGATATGGAGAAAGCCCTTCGAGGCACTCCTTCTCAAATGATGGGCATGCTGACTTTGCCTTATGGGACAGCACGAGTAAAAATGTCTCACGTCCCTATAGCAAGACGTTAAACTGCGCGACATATAGTCCATTCGCACGACTATAAACTGCTTCTCGTTCCTACATGTCTCTATGGGGTTACCGCATGACACCCTCCTACACATCCCCTATTACATCCTTCTTCACAAGCCTCGGGTGAAAGGACACCACCCCTTCGAGATGTCCTCCCTAATCAAGGTGTATCTCAATTTCGAGTGTGAGTCTTCAAAGCAAAGCATGCAAGTCATGCGCCTGCCTCTACAAAGCCAATATCCTAAAGAGGCGTATCGCAGTCTCCCTCGTGTACCCCCACACCTGATAGGGAGCTTTCACCACCCATCATCTCAAGACTCTCTTGGCCACTATTTTCCCAGTTGAGTCACATCACTCATAGCCCCCTTAAGCCTTCGTCATACACCTCAATCGCCCATGATCCCACTTCTTGTCATGCGTGCCCCTACCTCCACAATGGTCTAAAGTAGGTGAAGACCTTAAACTTTTCCTCAACATGTCCAACAAGGGTGAGGAATTTTAAAAGCATCCATTGGCGGTCTGTTCGGGGCACAAGACCTTAAAAGACCTTTCCCCATGAGGTAGGGTTGATTGGGGCAGTAGCTCCGAAGCCCGAGCCCGAGGTCCTTCGCAAGCCGCCACTTGCATGCATCTCTCGCGTGCTCGTCCCCTCAACCACCGCACGTGTTCCTTCTTCACCATCGCGCGTGTTCCTTCATCACCACCGGGTGTGTTCCTTACCGTTGAGTGTTCTCCTTCTTCATCACCGTGCATGCAGCTGCTGCCCATACTAGCGTCGCCCATGCTAGCACCGAGCAATTCACTGATAAGCATGTCGTTGCCTCACATGCTACCGCCATCCATGCTCCAGTGCCTAACACGCCACTAAAGACAAGCTCCAATGGGCTGGACCAGGTCGGGCTCAGGCCTGAGGCTCGAACTCAGACCAATGCCGAGCGCAACCAACATTGCGTCTAACCAATGTTGATTGTGACTAATGCCGCACATGAAAGTCGCTGACCAACGCTGCTTGCGACCAACACCAAGGACTGCTCAACGCCGTTCGTGCAACTGTCGCCCGTCCTAGCACCGTGTGTGTCAATGCTACTGCCGCCCATGACCACCACTGCGCGTGTTACTCTTGCACATGCTAGCACCGCGCATGTTTGAAATTAGTCACCGCCGCATGTGTTAATGCTACTGCTGCCTATGGCTAGCGTCGCGCATGTTTGAGCCTGGTCACCATCGTGAATGTTTTGCCATCAACCCTAGTAGGAATTACACCTGTGCCGTAGCCCATCATCCCCAATGGAGTTAGGTGTATTGCAAAAAAAAAAAGGTCATGCTTACCTCTTCAATCCCCAGTGGGTCTGTTTCACACCAAGCTATCTTATCCCTAAGGAGTCGGGTCACCTTTCATAAACCTATTCTCCATGGAGTTTCATCTTTCACCTGCAGAAATTGAGTCTCATCTTTCACCCCATGGAGAATAGATGAGACTAGCTGCATGACTCTAAATTGTATAGCCATGGTTCGTGCTGCATGACCCTAAACTGCATAGCCACGGTCTAGATGCATGACCCTAAATTATATGGTCCAAACTATATGACCTTAAACTATAGTGGAGGTCTATTTGCATGACCTTAAACTGCATGGTCCAAGTTGCATGACCTTAAAATGCATAGCCATGATCCAAACTATACGAACTTAAGCTATAACGAAGGTCTAGTTGCACGACCTAAACTTCATGGTCCTAGCTACACGACTTTAAACTGCATAGCCACAATCCAAGCTATATGACCTTAAACCATAGTGCATGTCCTGACCACATGATATTAAACTGCTTTGCTTAGGTCCCGGATGCATGACCATAAACACACCCCCATACATGCACACACGCCCCTTTTACATGCGTCTTCACGCACGTCTTCCCTAACCTACTTGTTTGTGTGCGCACACCACCTTCATTAAATCCCCATAAATCCACCTTCCTTCATTACCATTCATCATTCCTCAGTGAGTCTCACCCGTGCTCACAAAACGACGAGCCATCCCCCCATCCATACTCGCCGTAAGGCAAGTGGGTCACCACTTTCATAGGTAGCCTTGTTTCATCTCCCCAAAGTGAGTTAAACCACCACCATACTCACTCCATGGCGTCCATAGACAATCACCCATCTCCACTACGGTCCAGCTATATGACCTTAAACTATAGTGCACGTCCTGACCGCATGACATTAAAAGGCTTGCCACAGGTCCTAAAGGCATGACCCTAAACACGCCTTCACAAACAAAGAAAAGAAAAGATAATAACGAGCATGATGTATACCTGGACAAGGGAACACCATGAGTAAAAATGACGAATGGAGATGGTCACGAAAACACGAGTAAAAGAGTTCCGTAAAATAAAAACCCAGGTACGATGAAAACCCGAAAGGGTACTGTGAGTAAAAAAGGAAGAATAAGGATGGACATGACCGAAATGTCATGGGTAAAAGAGCCCCAAATAAAATGAAGTTGGTGAGAACCGTTTCTACGACGTCACTTCCTAAGTTCAAGTGAAAACCCACAAAGGGCACTTGGACCAATAAGCAAGTTGATGCAGCACCGGCCTCATGGGCGACTTTAGCCACTGTGCACGAAGAAAAATCCTTGGTGTCAGATTGCCTTGATATCAGGACCCAAAAAGATGAGCATTAAGGAAATGTTTCGACAGCCTAAGTCCATTAACAAAAAGGACTTGAAGGACAAAAGACTCGCCAAGTGTAGACACCCTATTTTAAAACTGGACATTTCTATGATTTATTGGACTCTTAGGGCCACATTATCTTAATAAACCCAAAATCCATAGTTCACACAGCCTACCCTATCGCTTGGAACTAGTCTGCTTACCCGAAACCCTGTTTTGACCTAGATTCCTGTAAATGTCCATTTTTACCAAAAAAATCATAAAAATAGTAAAAAAGCTCCATTTTGACCCAATTTTTTTCTGGTAGCTTCACAAGAGGCTGGGGAACGCACTTAAAAATAAAAATCTCAATTTGGAGCATTTTTGGGTTGGGAGACATGTCCCATGTCCCATGTCCCATGTCGCTTAGCCAGGACTGAGCGACACGGCCCTTGTCGCCAGACCTGGACTGGGAGACACGCCTAGTGTGGCCCAGATTTGGGAGACAGTACCAATGCCACCCGGGTGACACTGCTCGTGTCACCCACCTCCTTTTTCCCCTAGTTGAGATTTTCAGTTTTTGGGCGACACCAGCCGTGTCGCCTTGATCTGAGACCTTTAAAATGTGTTTTTGATTGAGTTTGTTGGTTGGTTACGAGAAGATAATATCCCCAACAAATTTTTCCCCCCTTTTAGCATCTTTTCGGGACCATTTAGAGGGGGCCAGCGAGAGAAACATGGGGGATTTCAGAAAAAGAAAGCGTTAGAGATAGAAACCCTAGGAGAGGGAAAAAATGGAGGGGAGATTTTTCAGAGATAGGAACCCTAGGAGATAAAGAGAGATAGAGATTAAAAACCCTGCAGAGAAAGAAAAATATAGAAGAGATAGAGATGAAAACCGTGAGCGAGTTACAGGAGAGAAAACTTTGGAAATAACGTTAGGAAGCCTTAGCCTCCTGAGAGAAACCCCATATCTACCCTTAGGATAGAACCCTAAATCAAAGCCTTCACACCGAAGGGATATGCTGATATACATCTGACTCAGAGAGACAAAAGATGTCCGGTTCTGATACGGGCGAGTGCCAGAAGTCTCGGGAGTCCCAAGCCACCAGGCCCGGTTTGGTATCACTTCCTTCATTTTACTTCTACTTTATTGTTTCATTTATTTTAATCATTTTGCTTTAAAAATCGTATGTTAGTGTCTTGGCTCATGCTGGCTCTGCCACATATCTGAGAGTAGATATGCTCGTTTCCGGGCATATCTGACCTCATATTTGAGTTCGATTTGTCCCACTTTCTTTACAATTTTATTTCTTTCATTTTCATTTAGTGGAGGTGTTAAAATCAAGATATATTCATTGGAATATCTGTCTGATTTTCATCATAAATAGTTTGGCGCCCATCGTGGGGCGTTTCGAGCTTGATCCAAGCGCTAAAGTACAAACTTATTTCACTATTTTTCAGTGTGATCAGTCACAAAAAGTCCCAGGAATCTATGTGGATTAGGATCCAGTGTTTCAGTGCTCCAAAAACCTGTCTAATCTGGGCAACACCAGCTGTGTTGCCTGGGCGACACCACCAGTGTCGCCTAAATCCAAGGCGACACTCCCCATGTCGCCCAAAATTCGAAAGTTTCAGAATTTTTTGAAATTTACAAATTTTTTCTAGGGATTGTTTTATAAATGTTCAAAAACTTTTAGAGCAAAATAAATTTTTTAAAAATATCATAAAAATAATTTACTTGATACAGATCTGTCATATCTGCTTTTGTCTATTTACTTTGTTTTAGTTTATTTCATCAAAAATATATTTTTTTCTTGCTTCTTAAAATTTTAAAATATTATTATTTCATTAATTTTGACACGAAAACAATATAAAAAAAATTTAAAAAAAAGAATGTTTTGGGCCTTGCAAAGGTGACATCACCCATGTTGCCCGGGAGACACCACCAGTGTTGCCCAACTACAAAGGTCCCAAAAACTTTTGGGACCCCACACACCTGTTCCGGACCCTTTGGTTTGATTTTTCAACAAATTTTGGCTAGAAATAAATTTTTTAAAAATATAAAAAAAATATTTTGCCTCAAATAGGTCTACTTTGTTTTGGCTATTTGATTTTATTTTAGTTTGTTATTTTTAATTTAAGTCATGTTTTCCCTAATTTCACCATGCTTAGTTTAATTTTTATTCACCAAGGTTACAAAGATAAAAAAATAAAAAAATAAATATACCTCGAGGGCTTCTTGCACCCTCCTGAACTGTGTCTCGCTCGAGTCACCCCCGACCTGGGCCATGCTCGACTTAGCACGGACCGTATCTGGTCTCATTGTTCTGAATTTACCTTCTTAGGGGTTTCTTACCCCTCAATTTATACTGAGATTTGAGCGAGTTTCACCTCAAAGCGCGCATCGCTAGGCACGATCAGTCCCGAGCGCTCGCTTATTTTTCCTTGAACCGAGTCCCGTTCGAGCCACCCTCAACTCGGGCCGCGCTCGACTTAGCACAGACTATGCATGGTCTCATTTTTTCTGAATTTACCTTCTTAGGCGTTGCTTACCCCTCCATCTATACGATGCTTTGAGCAAGTTTCACCTCGAAGCACGCATCGCTAGGCACGATTAGTGCCGTGTGCTCACTTATTGCCTTGCTTGTTTTGCGTGCATTGTGTGCTTGAATTTATTTTTTATTGTGAGCTTTTTTACACACTCCAACACACACCGAACTGGGAATGCCCGGCAAACCAACAAAAAAATATTTCGAAAACCCCCAAAATCTCCGTTAACGACATGAGGGGAACTTAGCATTGAGAGCCGATGTGATGACCTAAACTTTTCCCTACTGAGGATGAGAGGCCAGTGCCAGTTGGAGTTGTGTGAGAGGCCAGCATCGGCTGGACTTGTATGAGAGGCTAGCACCGATTGGAGCTGTGTGAGAGGCTAGCGCCAGTTGGAGTTGTGTTAGAGGACAGTGTCTGTGGTATACCGCCGTGCGTGAGTGGTTGAGTGCATGGTAGTCTAGGGAGCTCTCCCTCTCTCATAATCATTTTGTTTCCCATGCTTGGTGTACCCATAATCATTATGTCTTCATGCTTGTTCTCTCTTTCTCCTCATGCATGTCAGTTAGCTTTGCATGAATGACACTTGTCATTTGCTGCCCTTTTCTCTTTTATAAATAGAGCCTTTCTCAGCCCTTCTCAAGAGCTTTGGCCCCCTCTCTCTCCCATGTTTTTCTCTCTCTTTCTCTCTCTCTATAAAATACTTAGAGTCTCATGTTAGGGAGCTTGGAGAAGTGGTTGTGTGAAAACGTTTTGGAGCTAGTTTAGAGCTTAAGGTATGTAGATCATGTTATTGTGGGTTTTAGTATGAAGCATGAATTGAAGAATGAATCTAAGCATATATGAAGAATGATTTAGGCATGAATGATGCTTGAAATTAAGCATGAGATTAGTATGAGATTAGCATGAGATTGTATAGAAACTGTGTGGAAGAATAGGATTTGCATATATGTATTTGTGCTTTGTTTTTCCAGAAATTTAGGCTCCTTTGTATAATATGATATGCACTATCGTGATTTCTGTTGAGCCTGCAAATTTGTGGTTGAATTTTTTGTGAGTATAGTTTAAATTAGAATTGGTCTCATGTTATTATATTGTATAGTTTAGAAGTTATGCTTTGTTCTTTGAGTTATGTTATGGCTGGACTATGGAATTCCAGGGAGTATTGGGGTTCTTATGTCTCTCTGTTGACCTATCAAATAATCTCAGAATTGCTTCAAATCACCTCTATTAGAAACATTTTTGAGTCTAGTTTGAGTTTGAGGTTATGTCTAAATGATATTCTTGATAGATTGGAAGATATAATGTGAAATGTACATGAATGTCACTGTTATCAGATTGTGAAAATTTCCTGAAACATCACATCTCTTGTATTGAGACTTTGCTTGACTTATTGGAGTCCAAATACATGAAATCACAACCATTTGAAAGATGCATGAGTCTATTGTGAATTTTATATTTTGACCTTGATCTGATTCTCTATTTATGTAAATTTATACTTCGAAACATGCCAGTAGATCACCATAGAGAGTTTTGGTAAAAACACAGAACTGATGTCTTTGATGTCAAGAGTTTTGAACAACCAAATGAGTTGAATTTCTTCCAAACCACTGTCGTTTGAAATATTTTTGAAAAATCTTGAGATCACATGTTTAACACTTTTCGAAATTCTCCCTAATTTGAGAGTTATATGATTAATTATAACAATTTGTCACTATGAACAGCTTTTATAAAACTCATAATTTAGGCCTCTGTCGCCACGGATTTTGACTAGCCAAAAGGGGTCAATTTTCTTCCACTGCCATTTGAACAGTTCATGATTAAGCTTTAATTCACATGTTGAGCACTTTTTGGAATTTATTCTTGATTGTGAGTTATGAAATAAATTTTAAAAACATGTCACTACCTTCATTGCACAATAGATTTCAGATAAAATATCTTCATTCTTTTGAACTTTTGTGGGGCCAAACAAGGTCCAATTATTTTCAAACTACCTCAATTTGAAAGATAGGAGGAAAATTGGTTTTGGAACCATCTTCAAACTCTAAATGGTTCAATGATTACGACCCTAATGGTAAGCGCACATCGTTGCCTTGATGGCAGGAAATTGAGCGGTAAGGCTTAACTGAAATAATGTCATTGTTACTATAGTACTGTCATTGTGATATTGTTAAAATGTGATGTGCCACACCCAAAATGTGATATTGCTACTATCATGACAAGATACTGATATCGTCATTATGTGATATGTGTTATGTGAATGGATACCTACTGTGTAAATGATGGTATCATGCTGTTTATGTGTTATGTGAATTGATACCTACAGTGTGAATGATCACATCATGCTGCTTATGTGTTATGTGAATGGATACCTACTGTGTGAATTATTGTATCATGCTACTTATGTGTTATGTGAATGGATACCTATTGTGTGAATTATGGTATCATGCTGATTATGTGTTATGTGTATGGGTACCTACTGTGTGAATGATGGTACCAGCATACTGAGATATTTGCGTGCTTTGAGTCTATTGCACGATCAGCTATGACATGATGAAATTTCTATTGATATGGGAATTTCTTGACATGCCTTGTGTGTATCGCATTGCCTGGGACATGTAACTTCTCATGCGGTGTGCATAAGGTGATAAGCTATGTGTGACTTCTCGACATGCTTTGAGAGTATTGCATTGCTTGAGGTATGTGACTGTTTGATATTGGTGAGGTGCCTGCTTTGAGGGTATTGCAGGGCCTACTTGTGTGTTTGATGCCAATAAGGTACATGCCTTGGAGTGTAATGCACTACCTGACTCTGTGAGTGCTAATGGATGAAAATATGCTTTATTATGAAATAAGAGTATGCTCCATTGTGATAAGTATGTATACTGTAGAACATGTTCAGTTTTAGATGAATGAGTAATATTGAGGAATGCATATGATCATACTCCTGAGAAAAGGTCTTTCAGAACTTCTAATTCAGGTGATATCTCTGTACTGGGAATATGAATGATAATTACAACATTGAACAAATGTGAATTCTGATATCTTATATTGTGCTTGCTCTACTCGAAAAGAATCATCCTATAATTGTGACATAATTGTGATGCATGACTCCTGTTTTATGAGCATCGCTTAGAATCTTGATCTGTGCTGTGTGATAATACTGAAAGGTAGGGAAGCATAATGCTGTGATCTACTTACTGGGCTTTTTTAGCTCATCCCTTTGCTTCCACCCTTGTAGATTGACTGCTGCAGGTCGAGAACGGTGGGAGGTGATCGTGTTTGGTGGACGGAAAGCCCGCGCTCGATGAGTGGATCTCTGTTCTTGTGTAGGTGTTTGTTAGTCGTCGGTCTTGCAGTTGTTGTTATTGAAGTTATGTAGTTTGATGGCAGGCCAGCAGTACCTTTGACGATTGTAATATTCTGGATATTGTAGTTGTGACCTTGGAGACTGTTTATGGATATGAATGGTTCTAATTTATCTGGCTTTTGTTATGTTTCTGGTGAGATTTTTAGTTTTTCTTTCGTGGTTTGTTTCTGATTCTGCCTATCATATGCGTTGACCCACTCCGACCTGAGTGACGTTCGTGACCTCTGTGATCGCGATCCCGCACCTTGTCGCCCTCCGGTATGGGATGGTAGGGGTCAGGGGGTGGGGTCGTGACAGCTGAGGCAGTTGGGATTCGCGTAACTTTAACTGTGAGTGCCCCTC